TAATTTAATAAACGTGATTGTCTTGTTTCATCATTCAGATTCATGTTTAAGAGTTGTAATCCTACTGCATATGTAGTTCTTGCTTTGGAACCCTTTATATTATTAGTATTGTATTCATACAAATACTGGGAAGCTACTTTGTTAATTACTTCATTTCTACACATTTTGTGATGGGAGCGTGGATGGTAAACATACATGTTAAGATGGTGCGACAACTGTAACTAAAACTTTATTTTGTTTAGAATCCGAAACATTTATTATTTAAATTTCGTATTATTATTGTAGTTACCAGATTGTTTGAAATAATACTATGATTTGTAGAATTATGAATTGTGATTTATTGTAAATCAAAAATCAAAACAAAGACTATGTAAAACTTCAAGCAAACTGTTTATGGTACAAAATGAAATTGTTTATGGTATAAAATGAAACTTAAGCACCTATCTTTACTCATTATCTAATAAGTACATATCTTTACTCATTATCTAATAAGCACATATCTTTACTCATTATCTAATAAGCACATATCTTTACTCATTATCTAATAAGCACATATCTTTACTTATTATCTAACTAAAAATCACGATCCTATCTACATTATGTTTATTTATCATATTTCCGTATACTTGTTTTATGGCTCACAAAAATATATATAACAAGTTTCGCTTATGAAAACACACACATTAGATTGGATTAACTTTCAGTGTTATTTTCAAGACCAGTCTACAGCCATGTGTATAATTTATGTAATGTGCTGATGGTTAGAATGTAATTAATACAAGTAAGTTACTACTACTTGAAAATTTGCTGACGTTATTTCAAGGATTATTATGACTTTTTCTCAGTCTTTCTATCATCATTTATCAAAACCCATTAGCGAGTGAGTTTGATTTAAACGTTTGTTGTGTTTTAAGTTACTGCATTCTATCAAATGAAGTTTAACTTAGTGTTCGTAAGTCACGAATGTTCTATTTTAAATTTCTGAACAAAACAACAAACACGAGTAACTATAAGAATCAACTGGGGATTTTGTACCATAAACAGTTTCATTTTGTACCATAAACAGTTTCATTTTGTACCATAAACAATTTCATTTTGTACCATAAACAGTTTCATTTTATACCATAAACAATTTCATTTTGTACCATAAACAGTTTCATTTTATACCATAAACAGTTTCACTTTGTACCATAAACAGTTTCATTTTATACCATAAACAGTTTCATTTTGTAACATAAACAATTTCATTTTATACCATAAACAGTTTCATTTTATACCATAAACAATTTCATTTTGTACCATAAACAGTTTCATTTTATACTATAAACAAATTCATTTTATACCATAAACAGTTTCATTTTATACCATAAACAGTTTCATTTTGTACCATAAACGATTTCATTTTATACCACAAACAAATTCATTTTATACCATAAACAGTTTCATTTTATACCATAAACGATTTCATTTTATACCATAAACAGTTTCATTTTATACCATAAACAGTTTCATTTTATACCATAAACAGTTTCATTTTATACCATAAACAATTTCATTTTGTACCATAAACACTCATTATCTAATAAGCACATATCTTTACTCGTTATCTAATAAGCACATATCTTTACTCGTTATCTAATAAGCACATATCTTTACTCATTATCTAATAAGCACATATCTTTCCTCATTATCTAATTATCTAATAAGCACATATCTTTACTCGTTATCTAATAAGCACATATCTTTACTCATTATCTAATAAGCACATATCTTTCGAGGAAAGATATGTGCTTATTAGATAATGAGTAAAGATATGTGCTTATTAGATAACGAGTAAAGATATGGGCTTATTAGATAATGAGTAAAGATATGTGCTTATTAGATAACGAGTAAAGATATGTGCTTATTAGATAATGAGGAAATATATGTGCTTATTATATAATGAGGAAAGATATGTGCCTATTAGATAATGAGGAAATATATGTGCTTATTATATAATGAGGAAAGATATGTCCTTATTAGATAATGAGGAAAGATATGTGCTTATTAGATAATGAGTAAAGATATGTGCTTATTAGATAACGAGTAAAGATATGTGCTTATTAGATAATGAGTAAAGATATGTGCTTATTAGATAAGGAGTAAAGATATGTGCTTATTAGATAACGAGTAAAGATATGGGCTTATTAGATAATGAGTAAAGATATGTGCTTATCAGATAATGAGTAAAGATATGTGTTTATTAGATAACGAGTAAAGATATGGGCTTATTAGATAATGAGGAAAGATATTACATTTTTTCAATAGTTTTTATCAACAAACCTATTAGTCACTTCGGGCAAAGCTACACAATAGGCTAACTGCGCACAGTCGGCTCGAATTTTGAAAACGATAGGGAAGACAATCAGTTTGTAAGGCAGTCAGCTTGTAAGCATTACCATCGGTAACTTTTGGGCAACTCTTTTCTGTCCAAGTAGTGGGACTTGATCTTCACTATTATTCCCCCAAAGTGATTTTTACGACAACGAGTCGCGAATCCTCAGATTTATAGTTTGAGCACCAATAGGCCACGCCCTGCACACTTCAGTCACACTCAAATTGTCAGTATTGTCTTTGTGTAATCTGAAACACAATCCACCCAACGTTTCACACAGCAAGTATTTAATGGGAAACTCACTCTTCAGATATGATAATTCATTATTTTAAAATGGGGTAACCCATAAAATGTAAAACTTTCCCTACAGTACTATATACGTATATAAATATGTTGTTTGTAATTAAGCACAAAGCTACACAATGGGCTATTTGTGGTCTGCCCACCACGGGTATCGAAAGCCGGATTCTAGCGTTGTAAGTCCGCAGACATACGTTAAATCGATTATATCATTCCCTGACAAATTATATACTAATTTTGAGACAAAACAAACATCACGGTTTCTTCAATTCAATTTGTTTGCTGGTTAGCACGTTTGACAAAATGATATATGCAGAGGTTTCACGAAAGCATTCGAGTTTTTATGGACACCATTATGTAAACCGCTAGCAATATCTGGCAAATTGAAAACACAAAATTAGTATCACCAAATTTGATAAATTTATCGCCCTTAATGTGCTTATAAAAGGAAGGTTACAAACATAATATAGAATTTCTAGGCTTTTCCAATATCTAGAGAAGCTAATTTCTTGTAATTGTTGGTATGAAAGTTGTGCTGTAACAATAAATTGAAGTGGTTGCGTGTTGAATTAGCTATCAAACTTCTTAATTATTTAATCACTTTTATTCATCAGCTGAAACGTGAACATTTTAGATGGAAACAAGATCGACTAAGATAATCGTATTGGTTAAGACCAAATGCATAAGTTAGTAACGCTTCTGGTCCAGATAATAATTCCACAAGGACTTTGAAGGAAACTAACGATTGGACATGTGAGCCACTTCTATTTTTGTAAGTCCGGGAATAGTGGGCAAGTGCCAGATGATTTGAAGTTACTAATGTTACTCCTCCTTTCAAGGGAGGTAGTAAAAATTTCCCCAACAATTACAGTTCTACTAGTATAAAAGCCCCTCAAAAATGACGGGAAACCGTTGTTGAATGATTAACTAGAATTATATAATTTAACTAAAACGAATTTGTCTGTACCTACAAAATGCACCTACTCTTCACTTATGTCATCAGCCTCGAAATAATTTTTTAATCATCACACTTTTAGTAAAAACTACGCAGATAAATGAAATGTTATCGTAAACAAAGGTACGCGAGCACTCTGAAAGAGACTTAAATAGCACTCTTGAGCCTTTTCACTGTATTATAGGTCAGGAACTAGAAAACATAGTGCAGACATTCCGACATATATTTTCAACTCTTTCGACTGTACAAAAGATAAAGGATATTTGGTAGTAATAAACGTTCATTTTTCTTTATGTTTTAATGTAATAAATGTGTTAAAATACCAAAATAATATTTATTAATTAACATTTAATCACCATTTAAACATTCTTAAACACTGACTCTATAACATTAGTAATATTAGGCCTATTTGTAGTTTAGTTTAAGCATTAGCCCTAACACATAAACGCAACGTAAGACTTAGCTGAAACACTACTTGGTTTTTTTATTATTATTTGGACACAACTCAGTGTCAGAAAACTTCTGAATTAAACTGTTTTGCTGTTATATCACCGAAGTTAACAAAAAATAAAGAATAAAATACAAACATTTCTAACAAATCAAAATGAATATTGAGCATTCAACATAAACACCATATTTGACCTAAGAACAAGTAGGTGATAGTTTTGTTGCTAAGTCACGATGTATATTGTTGAGCAATACCAAAAAAGGAGCGTGAAAGCGTTTTCAACAGAGTGACAAAGGGAATAACGATTTTATAGTTATTTATTGATCTTACATTAGTGGTAAGAAAAGGTTCTGAAAATCTATTAGAGAATGCTTTACAAAGTCATTTAAAAATTACAATTTTATGGGATAATTAGCATGGCTTAACAGGTGTGCATTTGATGTATTTGGACTTTCAGAAAGTATTTGACAAGGTGCCACATAAAAGGCTGGTAAAAATATCTGTATAGGTGTGGGGGGGGATAAATTAACAAATTGGCAAGATGGAAGACAGCAGAGGGTTGTTAGAATTGGAGTTCAGTCAAACTGGATTAAGGCCACAAGTGGGCTGCCTCAGTCTTAGGGCCAATGCTCTTTTTGATTTCCATCAACAACATAGAGGAAGGAATGGTCAATAAATTACTTAAATTTGCTGATACAAAATGATAAGACCCACTAACCCGAGCGCTTTCGAGAGTTGGACCTTTCTTCTTCAGGGGCAAATTGGGATTTATTTTTCTAACATGTTGGTTGGCTTTTGGAATGGGTTAACTTCGGATGTGATGGATGCAGTTACTGTAAGGGATTTTCTAACATGTTGGTTGGCTTTTGGAATGGGTTACCTTCGGATGTGATGGATGCAGTTACTGTAAAGGATTTTCTAACATGTTGGTTGGCTTTTGGAATGGGCTACCTTCGGATGTGATGGATGCACTTACTGTAAGGGATTTTAAGGGCAGGTTTGATAAATATTGGGATAATAAGGGCTGTCTTTGAGTATTATATTTTAACTTTTAGTTTATTGATGGGGTAGACTAGAAGGACCCTTGTTGTTTTTAAGTTATGTATAGTTATTTCATTACAAGCCCACTGTGAATCCCCCACGTTATAAGTGATACAGATATTTTCTACACAAGGTTTTTGTAACCGTGCAACAAGAGACATGAGCACTACGATTTTTTAATAAAAGTTTCTCTCTCTCTCTCTTTTTTATAACAGATGTGAGATTAGACCAGGTCCTGAGTATCTGCTGAGGAACTATCAATTTACGAAGTCCAGGTTCCACCTACTACAGTATTACTATCTTGATGATATGTGCACAGTGCCCGCATTCTCCGTGTTCGCGTGGGGGCATTATTTTTTTCGACGTCCTTCCATGGTAGTTCCAGGTGGTATGGATGTTGATTATGATCTTCGAGGTGTAGACATCATGGCATATAAAAATGGCGTCGTGGACTCATTGAGGCATAAGATCAACAGATCGTGTCCTGGACATTTAAAGAGTCGTTGGCGAACTTACAAGAAGTACAGACTGTACGGTTATACAGCCACCAGAGAACAGTCAGACCAACAGGATATCGACTGCTTGGCTGGTTTACACTTAACTTTCAATGAATTACAGCTCATGAGAGTTGAATACAGAAAAAAACTTCATCGTGGACATCGCCAACGCAAGAAATCTATTGAACTGTTTTTGGGTGACATTCATACTCAAGTACACAGGAGGGCGTATTATAGACCAACCAGATATCAACCACCACTATCAAAGCAAAGGGTAAGAGTTGAAACCATAAGTTAATCTTGATAGTAAATATTTTATTTTATAAATTATTATTTAATTTTGTCTGGAATTCTGCAGTGTATTTATTTACGCGTATTTTTACATAGGGATGTTTTAATTTGATAATTTCCGTTGTGGGCCCGGCATGGTTA